TTTTTTGGTTGCAGCCATCATTGTTGTTTGGTGGGCCTGGGCTGGATTCGAACCCACCACCTTAGGTGTATGTGGCTGGCGCCTTAGCCACTTGAGCCACAGGCGCTGAGCCAAGAAATATTTTCTTACTTCAGCAGCACAGGCAGAGTGAAGGGGCAACAGGGCCTTAGCAGGTGTGGAAATACTGTCATGCTCCTCCCTTGGGGGCCACTGTTGGCCTCTCTGTCCCCAGGTTCATCTCCCATCCCCTAAATCTGGATCAAGGAGTCCCATCTTTTCATTTTATTTTTATTAAATGATAGCTATGTACATTAATGCAAACATGGGGTACAGTGCAGTCTTTTCATATACAATTTGAAATATTTTCATCAAACTGGTTAACATAGACTTTATGTCATTTACCTAGTTATTGTGTTAAAACATTCATACTCTAGTTCTAGAAAAATTCACTTGTACCCTTGTAAGATGGACCATATAGGTGATCTTTCCAATCACCCTCCCTCCACCCATCTGCCCTTCTCCCCTCCTCTCCCCCACCCCCACCCCATATACTTGGGCTAGAATTAGGTTGTAGCTTTCATTTGAGAACTATAAATTAGTTTCATAATAGGGCTATGTACGAACTGGAAAATGTTCTTCTTAGTGAAGTATCACAAGAATGGAAGAAAAAGTATTCAAGGAGTCCCATCTTAAAGGAATCACAAGCACCAGGCCCCGAAAGCCAGAGTAGGGAAGCTGTGATGCAGCCTCCAGGCATCCCAGGTCCACGCTATGCCTTGACCTTGCCAGCTCAGTGTTCCTCGGTGTCTTAGTTTCATCATCTGTGAACAGGGGAAGTACAGTACATTCTTCGTGGGGTCACGAGGCTGATTCAATGTGTCTGTACTTGCAAAGTGTGTGGAGGAGTGGCTGGCAGGTGTAGTCAGCACCGTACTGCTGCTACTGTGGCTACTGTCATCACTGTTGTCACTGACTTATCCAAAAGGTGAGTGGGTTTCCTTGGAATCCTGTCACTTGCCCCTAGTGACTTCAATGCAGCTAGTTTATTGGCAGAGGGTCAGGGTGCGCATACCTGGCCTGTGGCACTACTTCTCAGCTGCTTGTCAAAGCTTCCAATGGTCCCAACACTTAGGGACCTTTTGTTGTGGGAAACAGAAACTCAACAGACCAGTTTAAG